GCATTTTCTACCTCCAAGTGTCACATGAAGCCAGTAATCCTTACTCGCCTTGAGTTGTACCTTCCTTTTCAAGTAGCCTAATTGAAAGCAAACTGGCTACTCATATACTAAGGTACTATTCACTGAGATTAAGAGTGGGAGAATATAATACGTAGTCCTTCCTTAAGTGAAGGGACTGCTCTAGATGACCTCTCAAGGTCCCTTCCAGTCCTCTGATTCTATGAATTTGGCCTACAGGGTTGTGCAGCCTGAAATGCCAAGCTTGTCTTATACTCTGACCCCCCATGTGCCCTTACTACAACATGAGAATGGAGCAGAGTGTGTGTGGGGGGGGGAGGATAAATAGTTTTCTATCTAGTTCAACAAAGAATTAAGACCGCCAAGTGGAGATTTTCCATTGAGTAGGTGTTATTAGCTCATTCGTCATTAGCTTAAACTAACATGAAACAGAAAGCAGAAGTCTGAACACACGGAACTAACACACTCTGAATTCTGATTAGTCTCTTGCTTACACTACGTTGTTTCCAGCTGTGAGCCTGTATTGGATCATTTAATCCTTCTGCAGGCGGTTAATATATAGTAACCTCTTACAGTTGTCACAGTCACTGGAGAGAGGAAGTGAAAAACTACCCTCCTCGTGCTGATGACAAGAGAGAGAAATAATCAGAGACCACATCGCCATCGTGAAGATGTTTAATTCTCCCATACTCCTTTTAGTCCTGTTTTATCTCCGCCTGAGCACAGAATGGCCTACGCACACAGTCTGCAAGGAGAACAATTTGGAAATATATTACAAAAGTTGTGGTGAGATCTTTAAAATTGTATTTTATATTTACAAGGACAATAAAATGGTTATTGCATACCAGGGAAAGTTTATATTCCAGATGATGAATGAAAGGGTTAAGTTTCTGGGCAAGCCCTATTTTTCTAGTTGGAAAGAGCTTAGTTGTTCAGGGGGGTTTTTGCTGCACGAAAACCTCCTGCTGAGATCAAAGATAATGTGGAGAGGAAACAAATCAGGTAAATTCTCCAAAGATTAATAAATAGCTGCCAAAAATAGATGTAATGAACACACAAGGGTTGTGCCACTGGGATTTTTATGCTGAAGTTAGACAAAACCCTTTAATCTTCATCATTCTTACCCCTCTTGTGATACAAAAGCAGGAGGCTGTCATGGAACTGATCTACTGTTTTCCTAAGGTAAGGTTTGGCTGTGGGGATGCATGTTTTCTCTTCTCCTACTTAGAGTGACAAGAGACCCAGTGTGACAGTAAGAAAGGTTTAGTTCAGGTGGTCGAAAGCTGCTACATGCTTAGCTTGCCTCTGTTAAGCAAGCCTGCTGCAGTCATTTCCTGTGGACTGTAAGTTTGTTCTCTAAATCTGTTGTAAAGAAAAGAAGCAAACAGCTCTGAAAATGAATTCTCTGACTAGTGCTTCCTTTTCAAGTAGGTTGCTTTGCTGGCCCTACGCCTCTTCTGTCGTACTGATCTACTTTACTACTGGAACAAAGGGAATTAGATTCACAGACGCCTCATTCATATTACACACGTGATGTGAAAAGAGATTCATGGCAAATGAGCACCCTAGAGTTTGTTTTTCCGATTCATCCAGACACAAAGGGTTCCCCATGAGGCTTTTTCTCCCCTGCAGCTTTGCACATCCATTAAACATAAAACCAGCAAGTGGCAAGAGGAGTAAATAAATATTTGTAATAAAACCCTTAGCCAGCCCATTCCTGGGAGAACAAAATCAGGCTTCACATATTATAAATGGATCTAGTGTATTAGGAAAAATTTAATTAGATATTGAATGGAAGCTTTGTCGTTACCTATATTTTAACAATAATTCCTTGTGTGAATTAATTCTCCCCACTCTGCTAACAGATCTCTGTTAACAAGTAGCAGGCATCATGGAGGCAGTGGGCTAAATTTTGAGTTGCTTTAAATCGTGACCAGAATTGCCTGTTGGGCGTTATGTCAGTCAACAATTCCCCCACCCACCCACCTCCGCTGATTAGTCAAAATGCCTTAGTTTAGACAAGCATGCACCTCCGTTGCTGTTTTCCCTAAGCACAGATACTTTTCAGCCAGAATAATTGCTGACGTTGAGAACAGCAAGCAAGAAAGAACATCATTCGGGTCCCCATTCTGGTCTCGCAGCCATGAGAATCAGGGCACAGCTTTAGAAGGCAGTGGAGGTACACAGGTGTAAAATTAGCATGAGAGCTAAGGGTACAATTCATAGTTCAAGGAAACATACCTACACTAGCCTCCGTTGAGTTAGCACACTAACGAATAGAACGTAGCTGCAGTGGCATGGATGGCAGGAGAAGCTAGCCACCCTGAGTCCTTACCTAGGGTCTCAGACAGGTGCTGACTCAGAGCAGCTAGCCCCTTCCGCTCCTTGCACTATCACAGGTCCACTCTGTTCTAGTGAGTTCACCCAATCAGAGCAAACACAGGGGTGTCTCCTTGTGCTGCAATTGACATTGCCAGCTCTGAATTTAGAGGTACCTGAGGTTAGATCCAACATGTATGGGCCCAATGTTCCTCTCACTGACCCTGGGGCAAACCAGGACTAACTCCAATGAAAGTAATTACGTTATTCCAATATAAGAGACTGGTCTTGGTGAAAGGAGAACTGGGCCTTGTGTCTCCACTGACCAGAGTTGATTACATATACATGTTTACAAATTTTTAGACAAAAGATGGATTTGACTAAGATTTTTTTATTCTAGTCAAAAGTTTAAGGGTTTTCAACCCTACACTACTCCAGCAATATACGGCCAATAGTGCAAGATGCAACCTCACTTTTCTACATGCTGCTCTCTCACTGGGAGTGTTCCCTCACTTTGCAGTTTTCCTTGTAAGCATCCCTCTTGCCACAGCATACTTTTTTTTTTATATACAATCTCTTACGCAGATTCATGTCCCATCCCCATAAAGTTTTTTCCCAATGCTTCTCACAGGGTGAAAGGTTGGGATGAGAGTTTTCACCAGTCTTGAGGCTACATCTAGACTGCACTCTTAAATCGGAAAAAGATACGCAATTTGCACTATGCACATTGCGTATCTTTTTTCCATTTAATTTTCAAAGAGGCTTTTTCAAAATTTGGTGAATCTACACGCCACCAAATTTAGGAAAAAAGTGCTCTTTCGAGCCATCCCTTATCCCTTGAAGAACAAGGTTTACAGGGATGGCGAAAGAGCACATCCGTTCTTTCGAAAAAAAATGTGAAAAAGCAGACACGTTCCTTGGACGCAGCATTGCTTTTTTGAGATACTTCCAGTATTCCATGCAGTCTAGACGTAGCCTGAGATTTTTTATTTCTTTGCCCTTCCTTCCAGCCCTCCCCTCTCCATTCATATCTCCAATTTAAAAGATCCCAGCTGATGAGATGAATCCCCTCTTAACTGATTCTGATCACGCTTAATCAACCATCTCCCAATGTGGCCAGAGCATGGATGCTTACAAAGTGCATAGATTGGCAAGGCTCCGCCACACAAGCTACTCCCACTATGTCTCCTAAAAGCCCCTTTAGCTATTCTCATCTAAGAGGAAATAACAATGCCATATTTTGTCTGTTTTGATAAACTTCTTTCCCAAGCCAGGCAACATTGCCCGTTACACGGCATAGACTTATGAGATATTTCCAATGTAGCAATTCCCAACAACCACAGGGCTGCTTGTTATGCCAGAAAGATAGCTTTTCATGGTGTCAGGCTGAGGTCACAGAGTTCAGAATCAGAGCTCAAGTTGCTGCCTAACCCATAAATCCTAGACTTTGGTGGAGGGGGAATAATAATAAGTAACACTGTACATGACAGGCATGTTCTGCTGAATGGCAGAAGAACATTACATGTGAATTGTAAAGCAAAAGCTGAACATTCATTTTAACCCCATAAATCCAGCTGGGAATATTCAGCCCAGAAATAAATGTAAGCCAATCTCGGTAAAAATCTTCTCCCTCATTCTCTGCCAGCCTGAGAGCATAGGATACTTCCACTGAAGATATCCCAGAATGCATCATTCTGCGACATCGGATATGGGTTATAAAAAGGGTTCTCAGGTGATTTCTTGTGCCAAGTGAAATCAATAGAAAAAATGGATTTCATGGGACCAGGATTTCCCCCCGCCTATTTGTGATTTTACAGCTTGGGATACTGACAGTGCTCAAGGAAGAACAAAAAGGATTTCAGGAAAATACATTTTTAACTAATGTATTCACAATTTTATTTCTCTGCTCAGTGCTGTACACTAGTGTAGTTCACCAAGATGACAACAAAAAAACTGACTAAAGCCAAAATAAGGTCAAATGTTACTATGTTGTCTGCAGAGTAAGACCAGACAGACAAGATAGGCCGAAGCAAAAAGTAACTCAATTAATTACAAAGAGCTATGAATGGAAGAAAGGCACCAAAAAGAAAAAATCCTGATCAATAACTCTGTAGTGAGGAACCTAGGCCGAGAAAGTGGTGGTCCTGAGAAGTAAATAGGTTGGTTCTCTTAACAGCTTGTGGATAGCTAAGGATTTCCTATAGAGTAGACAATATAGTACAGCAGGTGTGACGGGTTTACTGGGTGTGAGCGCCCCTTCCCGACCGCGAGAGGGGAGCCAAGCAGACCCACCGTCTAATCCTGGTTAGGGGTCTGAGTTGGTGACAGGTTTACCAAGAGCGAGCGCCCCCTCACAGCCGTGAGAGAGGGGCCCGATGGACCCACCGTCTGGTCTCTGGTCCAGTCACGGTGGCCCTAGCCCCTTTTCCTGCCCCTCCCCGGAGTGTGTGTTCTAGCGACCCGCAGTCCCGGGTTCACCTAAAGTCAGTGCCTAGTGTCGTGCAGATGAGGACAGAGCGCTGGGAGGGGTTTAGGGGAACCCGGGCCCACCCTCTCCACAGGGTCCCAGCCCGGGGCCCTAAGGGTTGGGGAATCAAATCCCTTCACCCAGCTGATGGGGTTCCACCCTGAAGCTCATCAGCCCAAGGGCACCAGAAACGCTCTGCCCCAGGCTGCATCCTATTCCCCCGCCCAGCTTCCATCCCTGCCAGTGACTCTCAGGGGCTTACCCGTCTGCTGTCGTCCTTGGGCCCAGTCGGGCTCTGCGGCGTCCTGTCGCCCTCCTGCCGCATCCTCCAGCACGGGGGAACATCCTCTCCCTTAGGGAATGACCGGGAGTGGCTCCTTCCCCGAGTCACTCCGCTGCCTCTGGCCCAGCCACTTTTCAAACAGCCCGAGTGAGGCTGTGGCAGTGCGTCACAACGCCCCATGGGCATCCTCACGCCCTGGGATGCTGGGCCAGAAGCCCAGAGCCCCGCCCCGAGGGCCTTCCCATGCCCCCGGGTTACGTGGTGGCTGGCCGGCGTGCACCGACGCCATTCCGCCATGCTTCTTCCTTAGCGGGGTGCATGGCGTCTCGCTGCCCTCAGGTACAGCCACGGCGGGTGCGGCAAACACCGTCACTCCTCGTGGCGCCGCCCCACTCCGCCCGTCTGCCAGGGGAGCGGGTGAGGTTTCCCCCGGGGCAGTATGGGCCCCGATGGGCCCATCACACCAGGGAATAAGTGATCAAAATGAAGGAAGATCTACCATGACCACAAACCACCTCAGAAGTCTTTGTAGAGTTATTAAGACAGAAGTAACACAACTCACCTTCCTGAAGATCCTTCCAATGCCAAAAGCAATCAACAGTAATACTAAGGTCTAACCGATGGATGTGCCAGGAGTGTAAAGAGGTTGATTTTACATTTATTAGAAAGTGCAAA